TGCATCCCTAGTTCGAACTAGGGATGCAGTGTAGACGTACCCTTAGCTCTTAGTTTTACTCCTTGTTTGCTGGTCCTACCAACTGCATCACTCTACACCGTCCCTCTTCCTGCCTTGGACTTGCTAGTTTTCCAAGGCTGCTGCTGTAAGTAGCCCCATTCACAAGGGCCCTTGCTAACACTCCTTACCGTTCCCTGCTTGGCTTTGTAGATTACACCTTTGCTATGTACCCACCATCCATGATAGCCACAGGCAGCATTGGGGCGGCGATTCACGGCCTGTCTGTCTTAGCTGACTCTGTCTCCGATGAGGCACTCACCGAGATGCTGGCCAGCATTACCGGCACGGAGGTGGTGAGTACTGGTGTGGGGGCAGCATGGCACAGAGGGCTGGGAGTCAGGAGACAGAGGATGTGGTTACTGGACTCCCTGCGTACCTGTGGGCATCCCAGTTCCCCGCTCCATGCCTCCGTGCCCTCTTCTGCGACGCCAGAACGATGCCTGTCCACCTATGGGAATGGCCCAGGGATCGTTAGCTGGAAAGAGCTTTAGAATGCAAAATAGCGTTCGTTATCTCTGCCCCAGCCTGCCAAGCTCATCAGGCCAAGCTGCTGCTGTGCTGGAGTGGGGCGGCGAGGAGGAAGCTGTTGTGGGATAAAGAGCTGCAATCAAAGTGAGAAGGCAGCACAGGGGCTGAGTGATGATGCCAGGGAAGGTCTGTCCCCATCATCTTGTTGGTGGATCTAGAGGTGGGGATGACCCATGCCTGCATGTGCTCAGTACAAACCAAGCAGCAAATCTAGGGGGGCATGTGACTCCCCCTTTTCCCTCCTTCCACATCACCTGTGTCTAGAGGGTTCCAGGGAATTGTGCTTTTTTTTAAGTCTCCCAGTATAGGGGCATGGGACGGATCTGCAGGCAGAGCAGAGGCTGCAGGCAGAGAAGGTGGTGTCAGGAGGGGCGTGGGATGGGGCTGTAGACAAAGAAGGAGGTGTCAGGTGGGGTGTGGGACAAGGCTGCAGGCAGAGAAGAGGGTGTCAGGAGGGGTGTGGGACTGGGCTGCAGGCAGAGCAGAGGCTGCATGCAGAGAAGGGGGCGTCAGGAGGGGCGTGGGACGGGGCTGCAGGCAGAGAAACGTGGCATCAGGAAAGGCCAGGCAGGGATCGGGGAAGTAGCTGCTCAAGCAGACAACTGCCAGGAGGTGTTACAGGCTGTCAGGGTCCAGGCCCTAAGTCTCAGGTAGCATGCTGCAGGGAGGGAGGGATAGTTCTCTCTCTCTCAGAATCAATGTGGGGCTTAGGTCGCCTTGATTCACCAGCCTCAGATAGAGGGGTGCTTCCCCCCCTTTTGTGACCTTTAAAAGTAAAGAAAGGACAGGGCCCTGCCGTAATGGGATGCTATGAGTTTCAGCTCCCAGACTAAGTTGGCTACTTGCTGCCTAGTATCCAGGGTCTCCCTAAGTCCTGGCCCAGATTCCACAGTCATGGAAGGGATGCTGGCTATTCTGTCCCACCCACATATCCAGATTGTGGTAACCTTCCGTGTGTGTTTGTTATTGGCGTCCCCAGTCTCACCTAAGCATCTGGTTTCCCCGCCCCTAAGTGCTGCTTCAGCTTCCCTTGGGCATGACCCGCAGTCTGCTCCTTGTTCCCCGAATTACAATGCCAGGAGGGGCAGCCATGTGGCCTCCTGCAAACTGCTCTGTATGGCTGTCATCTCGTCAGCACCATCCCCTCCGCCCCAAGCACTCCTGAGACCAGCCCTAGCTTCTGATGATACTAAGCCGGGAAGGGTTGCAAGCGGTTTGGAGGAAAGGATCATTATTGAAAATGATCTGGACAAATTGGAGAAATGGTCTGAGGTAAACAGGATAAAGTTTAATAAGGATAAATGCAAAGTGTTCCACTTAGGGAGGTACCATCCGTTTCACAAACACAGAATGGGAAGCGACTGTCTAGGAAGGAGTACTGCAGAAAGGGATCTTGGTCTCATAGTGGGCCACAAGCGCAAACACGATTCTAGGATGCATTAACAGGAGTGTTGTGAGCAGGACAGGAGAAGTCATTCTTTTCTCTACTCTGTACTGATTAGGCCTCAGTTGGAGTATTGTGTCCAGTTCTGGGCACCTCATTTCAAGAAAGAGATGGAGAAATTAGAGAGGGTCCGGAGAAGAGCAACAAAAAATATTAAAAGTCTAGAAAACATGAGCTATGAGGAGAAACTGCAAGAATTGGGTTTTTTTAGTTTGAAAAAGAGAAAACTGATGGAACATGAGAGCAGTTTTCAAGTATCTAAAAACATGTTACAAGGAGAAGGGAGAAAAATCATTCTCCTCGACCTCTGGAGATAGGACAAGAAGCAATGGGCTTAAACTGCAGCAAAGGAGATTTAGTTTGGACGTTAGGAAAAACTTCCTGTCAGGGTGTTAAACACTGGAATAAATTGCCTAGGGAAACTGTGGAATCTCCATCACTGGAGATATTTAAGAGCAGGTTAGACAAACAGTCAAGGATGGTCTAGATCAGTGGTTCTTAACCTGGGGTGCAAGATGCCCTTTCTGGGGGTGAGACATGCTAGATTTTTATGCTATATCTTAGGTTTAAAGAACTGACCCACTTCAACAATTTTTAATAAGGTATGCGAGAACCAAAGGGGTGCAGGCTGCAGTAAGATTAAGAACCACTGGTCTAGATGGTGCTTGGTCCTGCTGTGAGGGCAGGGGACTGAACTCGATAACCACTCGAGTTCCCTTCCAGTTCTAGTGGTCTGTGATTCTCCACACACTGGGTGGGCTCAGAAAACTGAGGCTAGGCAGAGACTTTTTTTTTTTTTCTTTTTCCGAGGCTGTACAGTGCCTAGCACAATGAGCTCTGGGCGTGGGGCGGCAGCATAATACAAATAATTAGTAATAGTAATACATCATGCTGGCTCCTGTAGGCACAAGGGGCTGTGAAACTTCACTGCCCAACAGTAAACGGCAGGATATCCTGGGAGGAAAGATCCCTCTCCTCTCTGCTCCTTGCCCCAGTTACTTCCCCGACTCCAAGCTTGTAGCGAGGTGCGTGGCTGCTGAGTGCCGAGGTCTGTTCCCCGGCTGCCCTGTCGCGTGATGGCCGGGATCACTTTCTCCTTTTGTCCCGCATGAGGAGGCCTTTGAAAAGCAGACACAAAAGGGAGCCACCCGCTCACCTGAGCGGACAGGTGCTAACGGGATTGGGTTGACGGCGCTGGGTGGGGAACAGGCTGGGCAGCTGCTCACCTCTGCCAGTGTCCGATTGCTGCTGCTCCAAGCGTGGGCGGGACGGGAGCCAGACGGGGGTGGGGGGGCATTCCAGAACTCGGGAGAAAAGGCAGCCAGGCTGCACAGGGAGTCCTAAGGTGGGAATGAGGGGAACTGGTCTCTCAGCATCTTTAGGGAGAGGGTGGGAGGCTTTCACTAGGCTGGTTCTGGAGCCCTGGGTTCCATCAGCACTTGCTCTGAGCATGGGACCTTGTTCCCCCCACGGCTCCTTTGATCCCCGCATCTGCCCAGGCTCCGAATGCTTGAACTCAGAGTTAGTTCCACTCCCCTTAGCAGCTCCGGGCTTTGGGAGGCTCGGGGCTGCCGTGAAGCCGGGAGAGGGAGAATTACAGCCTGGCATTGTCAGAGGGGGGCTCCCTTCATGTGCTCAGCGTTTTTTGTTGGAGCCTTTAAAAAGTAACTTGGAATTGCCTGCAGCCAGCTGCTCCCAAGCTGCTGCAGTGAATAGGGCCGCAGCTGAATGCTGCCCTGTGAGCAGAGTGAATTGAAGCCGGCGGAGGAGAACAGGTGGGAAGCAGAGGAGATTTCAAAGGCCTGCCAGGCGGAACACAAAGGAAAGATTAGAGGGCATTGGAGTCGCCAAGGCCCAAAGCTGTTACTAGGCTGCCTACCTTATGTAACCCCATCGGTCTCTGCACTGAACGCGGCCTTTTCTCCCAACCCCCTCCCCGTTTCCTTTGGCTTCACTACTGCTGCTCCACACCGCCCCTAACTTCAGGCCCTGTCTCCTGAACTTCCGCTACTGTTATTGAGTTTTGGTGTTACTGTAGCATCGGGAGGCTCCTTACTGGGCTGATCCCCCGTCCCCCCCCCGTGCAAGGTGCTGTATAGACGCAAAGCAAAAAGATGGCCTCTGTCCCAAGGAACTTACTGTATAAGGCAGGGGTGCATTAGTGTGAAAGAATAGAAACAAGAAAACCATCTGTTGCTAAATATTTTATTTTGCCTCATATCTTAGACCCTTGACTGATCTGTACAGCTTTTTTGGGGAAGGAGGCTTAGGCTTTTTGGCCATATCAGGCCCCCATTGATGGCCGCCATCTTGGGTGCCATTTTGAATTGCCGCCCCGGGGAGCTGGGGGTGGGTGGGGGCGCAGGAGCAGCTTTGTGAGCCGCACTTTTTGGGGGCAAAGAGCCGCATGTGGCTCATGAGCTGCAGGTTGGCCACCCCTGGTATAAGGGTACAACACGAGACCGCCGTGTCCTCTCTAACCTTTCTTTGGGGAATTTCTGCTGGATGGAGCCGGTGGGGCGGGGAGGGGGGCAAGGATTCCATGCATGGATTCCTGGGTCCCAGCTCTGCCCGATTCCTGGGACTGGTCTCTTCCCCTCCCTGCAACTCAGTGTCTCCACTGCTGAAATAGAAGAGGATGATAACCTTCTTCGGTGAAGCTCGGTTCGTGAGTGCTGGTGATGCCCCCAGGGCATTGAGGACATGCGATGACTTGCCAGTACACAGACTACGCCGCGTGGCTTTGTTCTGCCTCGGCTCCCAGGCTGATCGATTCCTGCCTTGCGTATCTGTATAAGGGACTTGGGCCTCATGCATCTAATAGGCTCATTAATCCTGGTTGTAGTAAGACTTGCTCTTAAGCGTGTGACCAACAAGGAGCGAGGTGCTGCTACTCAACAGGTCTTTGATCTCTGGTAAACATGCCCCAGACAAGGTCTGATTGTGAACCTCCCCGTTTCCCTGCAGATAGACATTTCCTCCCCCTTTCCTGTAAGGCATGGGACCGGACCTCATATTTCCAAATAGGCATCTGGGGGAAGGTGACAGCCCTAGGTTCTGGGCTCCTTGCAGGGCAAGCATACTCAGCCTGCGTGCAAGGCCCCTCCCCAGAGTGAGAGAAACATTCCCTCTCCGTGCCTAGACAGTCTGTAGCATCGCTGCCGAAATCACCCGCAAAGGGGCTGGTTGCGGCAGTGGCTTTTATGAGATGCAGACCTTTGTCTCGGTTCCTAGTAGCCCTAATAGCTGAATTCAGAGAGGCCACGAAGCCGCGGCAGCTTCTGGTGACTGCCGCCCTGGACTTGAAGAGGTGTCTCCCTGCCCATCCTCCCCCACCCCTGCCGTCCCAGACATGGTCTGCTGGCTGTCCCCTGTCCTCCTCCTGCCCTGGGTACAACGCAGCAGGGAACTAGCCAGGAGGGGGTTTAGAATGGCCGTTGCCGGGGCCCCGTGTACAGCTCTTTTTGCCTTGTTGCTGCGGGTAGAAGGCTAGAAGCTCTGCTTACTGGAAATGACTGGGGAAGGGGAGGTGGGTGTTGCTATTTTTGCTTGCCACATCCTCTGTAAGTTTCTAAGAACCAGTTGTGGATTCCTGGTAAGAGGTTCTATGTGTGACACAATCCCGTGAAGAGAGACGGCCCGGGGTCCAGCCCTGGCTCTGGCCAGAACCCCAGCCCGCCCCGATGCAAAATGCCACCATCTCTCATCAGACGCTGAGGGCAGCGGGCGACCTCTGCCCTTTACAGATGCGAGAGGCCCCAGGCTCGGCTGCATCTTGTGCAGGCTCGGGTGAGTCACTGCAATCTAGTGTCAAAGTGGAGGAGTTTCCTCATCCTGCTGCGGCTCTAGGGGGATTGTCTTCGACAGAGGTGGTGTTCTGCTAAGGCTGTTTCCTTTGCACCAAGCACTGCGTTGAGCCTGGAGGCCAGGAGATGCAGAGGTGGGCTCCCAGGGCATGAAGATTCTAGGGAACATAAGATGAAGCTCTCTGATGGTATAGAAAGTTTCAGAGCCTCTGAAGGCGCGTATTTCATCATGTAGCTATGCCTGCATCTTAACTCTGCAAAAGCTGATAGGATCACTCTGTAAGCCCGTGGTTAGATGCTTGCTTAAGAGAGGGGAGATCCTGGGGGTTTCCTGGTTCAATTCCTGCCTGCATCCCTTTAGAAGAGGTTTGAATTAAGATGTCCTATTTCTCAGGTGACCAGTGATATGGGAAATTCCTGTTTTGATTGAGTTGGGGCTGGTTCTGCTTTGGGCAGGGGACTGGACTCAGTGACTCTTGAGGTCTCTTCCAGCCCTAGGATTCTAGGCTAGGTTGGCATGAGATAGCTGACTGGAGACTGGGAGATCTGGGTCTAACTTTCAAGGAAGGCATGGAGTTAAGATGCAAACTTTTCCCAAATGTTCTTCGCTTGACTAATTTTCCCCCAGCAGCACAGCTTGGCCCTCTGTAGGGAAGGAAGGAGCAAGCACTGTGGGTTTAACTTTACGGAAGGTGCTGGTTCCCATGGTGATTTGGGGCCCAACAAGAACTTAGGCAAACCTGTCAGGGAGTGAGCTCCGAAAGGAAGGAAATGGGAGAAAGAGCAGGCCCGTGGGCCATTGTTAGAAAGGCCGGGCGACTCCAGAAACAAGCATCTCTTGAAGGTCGGAAGAACTTCTCCGTGAGAGTAGGCTAACGGGTCTGCAGCCTGACAAGCCCATGTTAATAGAGGTAAATATGAGTGCAGAAGCTGTTTACTTCCCTTGAGAGAGGAAATGAAAGTGGGAAAAGCCATGCTATTGCAGAGAAGAAATGTCTAGGGAAATTACCTTTCCAGCATCTCCCAGTGGTCCAGGACAAGCTGCACCTCTCCTTAGTGCTCCATAAAAGTGACCTTTGTGAGAATCCAGCAGAGTGGGGAGAGGAGAGGGAGACGCTGCAGAGCACTTTCTTAGCGGGGGCCAAAGGATAAACTCAGATAATGAAGCTGGAGACGCTCTGTCTAGGCCTGAGCCCTGTCCATCCATGGAGATGGTCAGGCCTGAAACAGAGGCCAGCACCTGCTCAGAGACATCAGTAGGGCTGTCTGATTACTGAGTGTCAGAGTGGAATTCAAGCCTCCGGTCTTGTTTCTTTCCTGTCTCACAGGACTGCCTGAAAGCTTGTCAGGAGCAGATTGAAGCCGCCTTAGCCGAGGGCCTGAAACAGATTTCCCAGTCCCGACAGGAATACAGTTCCACCAAGAGTCCAGACTACCCGGCCAGCCAGGACCTCAACATGACCAGCACGCCTACAGACGTCACAGACATCAACCTGTGATGAACCCCCCTTCCCCTCAGTCACCCAGCCTCATGAGAATGGGACCTCGCGCTGAAGAGGGAGAGGCCTTGGGGGAACCTGCTGCCCACTAATTCCATCTGTCTGAAACATACCAGGACTCAGTCCACTCACTGGGGAGGTGGCAAGGACCTATCAGCTGTCCATCCAGTCACACCAGAAAGGGGTAGGAGGATAGACGGTGGTTGATTTCTCAAGGGGTTGTCTGGCAGGAGTTTGCTGCCCATACTGCTAACCTGCCTCACCAGATGGTAGCAGGGGGAAATGTTCATGTTGGGCAGGAATTAAAATACAGCGGGGGAGGAAGTGAGAGAGCCTAACTTCAGTTTTAAAGAGTTTTTCAGTTGGCATTTGTCTTAAACATAGTTGGTGCCCTGTTGCTGTTTTCTGTGTCCTAAGGTACCTCCACCTCAACTGCAGCCAACCCCTCTGTGCATGCACTCCATGCACGTTACATGAAGGGCTAGCTCTTATATTCTCTTGGCTTCTGTGATGAAGAAACATTCACCCAGTGACTTGTGCAGTGGAGTAGTCCTGAGTCTATGGTGGCTTGGTTTGGGACCAAGATGGGTTGATGGAGAGCCATACAGAGGGAAATAAGCAGGTGAATCCATCTCCTCGCTGCTCACCACCAGGCTGCTTGTGTTTTTCCCACTAGGAGGGAATAGCAGGGTTGTTTCTGTCACTATTCATTTTTTGCATTTGCTCTGTGCAAGCGCTCCATTTTAAGAACTGATACCTGAGGTAAAAGCCCTTGCAAGAAGAGGACCTTTTGTGTGGGGCGCACTGGGCATATGGTTGGCACTGTACTTACTGCATCTCACCTCCCTTAAATCCCCTTTGCTTTCAGCCATTCGACAAGGGAGGATGAAACGGAAGAATATTGGGCAACTTTTTGGCAGGAAACTGGGGGCTTGCTTCCCTCCCCACCTCCTTTCCAAACCAGTGCTTTTAGCATCCGTCCACAGGCCTCCATCAATCCGCTGAGCCTTCAGGGCTCTGCCTTAGAGAAGAGTTAGTTCAGACGCCACTCTGATGTTAAAGTATCTCATGAATGTGCTGCTATAGTCCTACATTTCTATGAACTCTTCCAGAGGGTCTCAAATCCAGCTGGAAAAATAAAAAGCAGGAGGGTGATAAAAAGAGAGGGGGGGCAAATATAAAGTGTTTTTATGTGTTTTATATCCACGCACCCAAAATAGGCCATAAATACTTGCAAGCACTTATGGACCGAAAAAGATGTGTTAGTTTGTTGTTCCTGTTTTTAGTTTTTTTTTAAAGTTTTAAAAAAAATGCTGCTTTGATGAGAGCCTCTTACACATTACTATTTTATTAAAAGGCAGAAGCCAGCTGGACTTTTCGTCTGCTGAGATGGGAGGTACAACACTGCTGCTTTATATTGATTTCTGGGCCCTGGTGGCGTTTTACTCTGTGACTGTTGCCAGCCAGAGGGAGATGGTTGGGAAACGTCTCTCTGAGAATGCCACTGGAAACCAGAGTCTTTGTCAGGTGGATAAAGCTCAGGCTGCTTTTTACTTCCACCTCTGTCCCCCATCGTGCTTAGCCTGATTTGCCAAAAAGGAAAGCTGTCTGCCACTGGCTTCTGCTAGCTGTTAAAGGTAGGAGGGGATAGAGATTACCTGATGTTTGGGGGCTGTTTGTATAAAAGGAAAAATAAATATATATATATTAATGAGTTAATTTAAAAATAAAATTGTTTGTATTATCCATATGCAGAAATCCCAGTGCTGGGAAAATCAGATGAGAGCATATGATGTTGCAATAAAAGACTTTTAAAAAAAGTTAAAGCATCTGAAGTTTCCTTTAGAAAGACTGAGTCAGATTCGATTTCATTTTTTGAGAGCTGGAGAGGGGCATGGCCCTATATACAGAGATTGATCTAGCCTGGTTCTTATACTTCTAACAGAAAAAAACCAAAACATTAGGGCTACGTCTACATTGGCAAAAACTTGCCGCCTGTCTACACTGGCCACGAGTTCTTGCTCAAGAACACTGATGTTCTAATGCACTAAATCAGTCTTTCTTGCGCAAGAACTATGATGCTCCCGCTCAGGGATAAGCCCTCTTGTGCAAGTGTTATTGTGCAAGAGGCCAGTGTAGACAGGTAACATGAATTTCTTGTGCAAGAAAGCCCAATGGCTAAAATGGCCATCGGTGCTTTCTTGTGCAAGAGAGCGTCTACACTGGCACGGATGCTTTTGCGCAAAAGCACATCTCTTGCACAAAAGCACAAGCCAGTGTAGATGCTCTCTTGCGCAAATACTTGAACGCAAAAACTTTTGCGTTTAAAAGTATATGTGCAAAGTCTTGCCAATGTAGACGTAGCCTAGCTGTCTCATCCTTTCTGATCCCCAATCCAGATTACTCCCCAGTGAAATGCAAGCGACCTTGTTCAGACGCACCTGGCTCCCTGGTGAGAGTTACACAATTTGGCTCCTCACCTGTGGGCTTGTTTGTTGGGTCCATGAAGTGGGTTGTTACTGGGGAAGCAGTGAGTTTGAAGGAGGCGGCACCAAGTGCCTGTAGGAGTCTCACGGAAGAAGGTAGAAAGCGGATGGGGAGGAGATGAGCAGGAGGTGGGTTAAGAGAAAAGTTGGGGAAGGAGGTTGGGTGGGCAAGGCAAAATCTTGAAGCTGAGAATTCAGCACAGGTGAGAGGGCAGATGGGGGTGGGGGAGAGATTTCAGTGGCGCATCCTGGCCTTAAATTCATTTGGGAAGTGGCTCAACTAAACCGGAAGTCTGTCTTTGAGACACTCCCCTACCCCATGATCAGAATCGCAGCAATAGGCCCTAGCAGGAGATACGGAGAACGCAGGAGGACTCAGACACTCCAGTAACGGAGGGCCCTTCATAACACGCAGGATTCTACCTTTCTACAGCCTGGAACAAATTCCAAGTCAGATCTTTTAACTTGCTTTCTGGATGCACCTGTCTGAGGCTTCACAACCCCCCTGCTGTAACGCCATGGATAGCTCCCCAGCTTGAGAATGGTAGCAATATATATTAAAAAGCTTTTATGGGGGGCAGGATGCCTGGCTCAGGATGACAAAGCTGGTGGGCGCTTTGTTATCCATTATCAATTATCTACTGCCTTGCTGAAGTGCTCTTTGCCAAATGGTTTTCAATGCAGCGGATACAACTTAGAGCCCTAGTAGAATTCTACAACTATTGCATTTGGAGGTGAAGTAGCAGAATTCCCCCAGGACGGGCGCTTGCTAAGGAAAGCAAATTCAAACGTCAGTAGGAGAGTCTCGAGTATCTATCTTACCTGCTTCTTATGGCTTTAAAGGAAGGAGATAAAATCCAGGAGAGTAGGAAAAGGGGCAGCTCGAAGTGGATGGGCTCCAGGCACGTTATCTAATTTCACAGCTTTTGGCTGAAAACATGAGTTAAAAATGGCCCTTTCGTTGTCACCAGTCCTGCTGCGAGGTGAGCTGCAGGTGGCAGAAACATTATTCATGGTTAATACGGTAAGTCTGACACGGTCCCAGGAGCGAGGTGGAGTCTATCGCCAGCAGAATATTCAGCCAGCTTTCAGGGACGGGGCTAATCCCTTACACATGCCTGAAGGGCTGTACAGGTGTCACCGAGGGACTGACAGCTAGAGTAGCCATGGCGGAGGGCAGGATGTGGCGTGCAGAACCCTGAGTAGTGGCAACGCATAAGGAGGAAACCCAGCTTGACTCTCAGCCACCGCGCTGAGCTTGCAGGTTGTCACATTTCATGACACAGGGAAGGGAAGGAGCTTTGTACATGTACATTTTTGACCTGGACAAACCTGGAACCCCCACAGTGGCAGAGTCACTCTTCAGAGCTTCCAGGGGGTTGCAAGCTGACAGCTGAGGGGTGCCCGTCCCCCTATCTCAGGGCTACTCAACTTTGGAAGCCCCGGGGCCCACGATACCCACAGCACATGCCGAGGGCTGCAGCTTAAATGTGGTTTGCATGTGCATGCAAATATATATGCAAATATATGCAAATAGCTTTTCACACAATGCCCCGGCACTCCCAGCACCTCCTCCCTGGAGGCTAGAAACCCCCAGGGAGGAGGGGGACCCTGTACCCGTCTCTTCCAGCCAGCCCATCTGCTTGCATCTTTCAGTGCTTACCCCCACCCCCTGGGAGACGCCTCGCTGTTGTAGAGCGTGTTTCCAGTGGCGGCCATGTTCAAAGGCTGGCCTTTGACTCCCAATAGTTGGGCTTGGTCCTGCCTTAGGCAGAGGGCTGGACTTGATGTCCTCCTGAGGTCTCTTCCCGCATTATGATCCCACTCACGGGCCGCGTGTCGAGCCCTGCGTGAACCCAAACTGCACCGCAGGCCGCAAACCAACGGGCCGCACGTTGAAGAGCCCTGCCCCATCCGGTGCTAAACAGCAGGAGGGGAAATCCCAGCTGCATGGGAGACGCTCCCGTCTGGAAAAAACTGAGTCACTGGCGTAGAGCAATCCTAGCAGGGAGCATTTTGCAGGGGTGTGATTTTCCTGCACAGCTAGTGGGAGCAGCTCCCCGGGGAGGCGGAACGCCAGCAGGATCCCAGCTTGTCGCCGAGCAATCGCCCCCACAAGGCGCTAGTCTGACAGGAACTTTGGGCTGGAAAGCCAAGCAGAACATGCACTCACACGGCTTGGGAAGGGGTAGAATAGCTTGTGCTTTTTGAATGGCTCAGGGTGTCTAGCAACGCAGCTCCATAGGAGAGGGCACTAGGGCACACTGGAGGTGGGGGGGTGTTCGCTGGCTGGTCTGGCAGGAAAGGGCGCCACCACGGTGGGTCAGAGGGGAGCAGGCTGGAGAAAAGGGGTGCCGGGAGCTGGGTGCATGGCTGCGCTCTGGAGTGACTAGTGTGGAGCAGTCAGCACCACAAGCTGACACACGGCGATTTCCCCCACGCTTGGCTCTTTGCATTTGGGGATTTCCCCCCCTTCAAAGCCACCGCCGCCCCATGCTGCTTTCTCACACTCCCCTCCTCAGCCCGGCCTGCGGCCGTTGGGCGTACTTTCCACAGAGCGACGGGAGAGCCTTGCCCCTCTTGCTGGCGCAGAGGCTGATGTGGGGCTGGCTTAGCGCCGTGGTTCCTCCCTGCCCATTCTGCCTGGGAACGGCTGAGCCCTCCAGCAGCAAGAGAAACTTTTGTTTTGACCCATCGTGCTCTTCCCCCAAGGTCATGGCCCGGGGAACCTGGTATCCGCCCTGCAAGAGAGGGTCTTTCCTTCCCTCCTGCGCCAGCCCCTGGCCCAACGGGGCAGCCAGCAGCTCAAAGCACAGAATCCCTAGATGGTTGTTTCCTGTTCTCGGCACAGGTAACGGACTGGGGGGGGGGAGAACAGGGGGTCCTCACAGCAGGTGATTCTACCAGGACACGCCCTGGCTGGCACCACAGCTGCCAGGTGTTAGCTCAAAGCATTTTTAAGCCTCCCTATTCCCTAGCAGATCTGCCCCTCCCACATAAGCGTAAGGCTCGGTGTGCTTGCAGGCAGAGGGGGAGTTAGCCAGCAGATGTATCCCACCCTTCCTCTTGCAGTCAGGTGAGGGCGAATATCCTCCCACTGCCCCATCTAGAGTAAGGGTTACACTGGGCCAGCTCCAACAGCTGGACTGCCTGCCCCATTTGTTTGCCTGCTGTGCTCCGCCACCTGGTGGAGGACCGGAGCTAGAGCAACTCAACTTCCTTGAGCTCAATAGGGCACCCAAGCCTCTTTGCAGCAGCGAGAGCAGTTACCCATACAAGTAGCTTGCTTAATAGGCGAGGGCAGCGACTTTAAGCCTCCATAAGACGTCAAGGCTACGTCTCCACAGCTGAGTTTCTGAGCAAAAACTGACGGAGCGTTCACACTACAAGTGCGTTTTTGCGCAAGGAAAAATACAGTAGATCGCCAGAAGACAGGGCTTTTTGTGCAAGTGTTACTCCTCTTTCCACGAGGAATAAGCCTTTTTGCACAAGAGCTCTTGCGCAAAAAGGCGTGCATGGACAGACCACAGGGATTTCTTGCTCAAGAAACCCATATCGGAAAAAACACAGGTACTCTGATGGCCATTCTTGCGCCAAAGCACATGGCAGTGTGGACGCGCTCTTGCGCAAGAACCTTTTACGGAAGATCTCTTCCGCAAAAAGTTCTTGCACAAGAAGCCTGCAGTGAAGATGTAGCCCAGCCTGCAGATCTACCTGCACGAGGACTGGACCCTGAATGTGCAGAGGACATAGGCCCGGTTCAACTTCTGTTAATTATTCCTAGGGCACTATTAAGTAGAGGCCTCACTCAGGGATCAGGCCCGGACCTCTGTGCCCCAGCTGCACGTTAGTACACTGGACCCTGGACAAAATAGGGGGTCAACAGTGAGGTGGCAACATTTCCAGAAGATACGAAACTGCACAAAAGTTAGTTAAATCCCAGGCAGCCTGTGAGGCATGACAAAAGGATCTCACAGAGCCAGGTGACTGGGCAACAAAAAAGCAAATGAAATTCAATGTTACTAAATGCTAGGTAATGTACACTGGAAAATATTATCCTAACTCTACATATAAAACGATGGAGTCTATATTAGCTGTTACCACGCAAGAGGGAAAGCTTGGAATCATTGTGGATAGTTCTCTGAAAACATCCACTCCATGTGCCACGGCAGTCAAAAAAAGCAAACAATGTTAGGCATCACTAAGAAAGGGATAGAGAAGAAGACAGAATATCTTATTGCCTCTGTATAAATCCATAGTAGGCCCATCTTGCATTCTGTGTACAGATGTGGTCGCCCCATCTCAAGGAAAAGACAATATTAAAGTTTTTGCACAAAAAGGAGCCTCATTACTTATGCAAATGAGGCACGGTGATATTCCATACTTTGCCTCATTTGCGTATTTCTTGTGCAAAATGGGGGCAGTGTAGACATAGCCACAATGGAGAGAGGCCTATAAAATCAGGACTGGTGTGAGGAACATGAACAGACTCCTTCCCATAACACAAGAACTAGGGATCACCAAATGAAATGAATAGGCAGCAGGTTTAAAACAAAAGAAATACTTCGCACAATGCAGTTAACCTGTGGAACTCCCTGCCAGAGGATGCTGTGAAGGTCAAAACTATAACACAGCTTCAAAAAAGAGCTAGCTAAATTCATGGAGGACATGTCCATTTATGACTACTAGTAAGGATGAGCAGGGATGGAGTTCCTAGCCTCTGTCAGAAGCTGAGAATGAGCGACAGAGGAGGGATCACTTGAAGACTATCTGTTCTGTTCATTCCCTCTGGGGAATTTGGATTGGCCACTGTCAGCAGACAGGACACGGGACTTGATGGACTTTTGGGCTGACCCAGTGTGGCTGCTCTTAGGTTCCTCACCCATTTTAGAACATATGGCCCGTAGGCCGGATCTGGTTCGTGGCTTGCCTTGACTGGCTCCCTCTCCTTCCTCCTCAGCTCTCAGCTGCCACTGTGGCAGCCCCAGGAAACAGAGATAGAGGGCACTGCCGGCAGGAAAGGAGAACAGGTCCCTCTAAAGAAGTAACAGTTTTCAGGAGCCAATGGACATCAGTGGGAATTGGGGCTGTGTGGCAGCGCCCATCACCCTGCAGCCCTCAGTGGCTGAGTCAGATCAGCTAGGGGCCTCTGGCCTGGGAGCTAACAGTGCACATATCGTTTTGCTGGGGGTGTCCCACCGTCCATCCCACCTGGGGGGTGAGGAGAGAAGCGGCTGCCAGTTGGCCAGGCGGAGAGAAGCAAAGTGCCAACCTGCTTTCTGGCTCTCAGCGCATCTACAGGAAAGGACGGGCGGCCGATGCAGGGTTAATACTTAAACAGGGGGCGACCCAAGGACCCAGAGAGGCAATCGCTGCCCCTTCATTACACCCGGAGTGGCCAAATGACAGCCCCGTGGTTTCACTGAGTGATGGTGCCCAGGAGTCCTGGCTCGGACATCTCCTGTCTGTGGCTTATTCCCAGCTGCCGCCCAGCCAACGTGCAGCACAGCTGCCGACTCCCTGCTTGCTTCTGGCTTCCTCTTGTCCCTGCCTCTCCTGGCTCGCAGGCGGCTGTCAGTCACACTCCCGCTGCTCGCCTTTCCTGGAAGCGGCCCGGAGCAGCCTCCGTGTGAAGCTGGGTTAATTACAGAGCAGCTGGTTCCCCTGGGATCGTTCCTGCTAAATGCCACGGAGCGGACGGATGGGAGCGCTGCAAATCGAGCCGGCGTCTGCCTGCTAGCGAGCGGCTGCCCAGAGGGAGCCGGCTCTCTGCAAACAAACCCACGGCTCCCCTGGAGCTAAACACTCTGCAAGCGCATTACTCTTCCCGGCTGCAGAAGCATCTGGGCACCGACTACAACGCGGGCGGGGGAATGATGGATTCCGCTCACAGGGCAGAAACGGCTGCAGCTGCCAACCCAGACAGTGATCCTTCCCCGGGGCATCCCCTGCTAGCAAGCGAAACATACGTGGGAACGTGCGATCTCATTGCCTGCCACGCAGGGGAACCCCGGGCCGCCTGCAAATTTATCCTCGGTGCAATGAGGCGCAAGGCACAGAAGGCAGGGTCCCTGCCTGGAGAGAAAGGGAAAAGATCTTCATGCACCAAACGGATCGCTGTGCTAGAGGGGGGGACTGGAGTAGATCACACAGGCCCTTACGCCCCATCTCTTACAGGGCGGAGGAGGATGGGGGGGGAAGGGGAGAGGGTGCTGCCCCCCCCCCCGAACATCCCTCTGAAAGGGCTGCACCTTTCCATTCCATTCCATCAGACGCTCGGAATGCCCCAGGTTTTATTCTCAGACAGGAGCAGCCCCGTGCTTTCCCCCCTCCCAGAAGTGCCTGCTCGCATCAGGCCAGTAAGAACAGCCTCTGATCCGAGGAAGGCAGCTTCCCCCGCTCCCAAGGGAGGTCCAGCTGAAGAGCAGCGCTTGCTTCCACCCCTGGGCTACAAGGCAGGAGTGGCGGGATCTTAGTGACAGGCCCGCGCTCGCTTGTCCCGGCCCAAGGGCTAGCTCAGCCACTCGGCCTCATCCAGCGAAGGCAGCAGCGATGGTGCAAGGGATGACGCGCCAGGTAGTTCTGGGCCGCAGCGTCTCACAGCCAGCGTCCCCTCCGCAGTCCCCGCCTCTCGCCTCCCGGCCTCACTCCATCGCCACCGGCTGCTGCCCCTCCACGTCCCGCGACTTGGAGTTCGCCAGCTCCCGCCTGATCTCCGCTGAGATCTGCGGGTGGCAGTGGAACTTGAGCAGCTCCAGCAGGGACTCCTTCTGCTCCGAGGACAGGTCCTCCTTGTAGCGCTGGGTGAAGGTGAGCAGGCACTGGTGCCACAAGACGGGCAAGGTGCGCCGGTCCGCTCGGAAGGCCAGGAAGTGGAAGACCAGGGCGTCCACCACGCGGAAGGGCAGGGCGTACTTCTTGTCAATGAGGAGGCGCAGGAAGATGCTGTTGGCGCCGCTGTACTCCATCTCGGCGATTTTCAGCATGGCCGCACTGCGGAGGGAGAGCGAGTCCCAGTGGGTCGGGGGTCTTGGGGCAGGAGCTTTGTCTGTCACACTCCAGAGCTATGCCCATGGGGACTGCATTCGCTCTGTTACGTTGCATGACATATCTACTCTCCTGTGGTAACCCCAAGCGCGTGCCTCAGTTTCCCTTGGGACTGCCCCAATACCTCTAGATGGGGATGACCATTCCAGGTACGACTCCTACCAAGGGAGGCTGCCCCAGTCCCAGCATGTGCACAGTGGCCCAGGCTTTCTGTAACATGAGCCTGAGAGGTGCAACCGGGTGACACCTTTGGGCAAAGGAGGCGGCGAGGCGGCCTGCAGGGCTGGGACCGGTTGCCGAGTGGGGGAATTGGTCTCCGCTGGCTTAGGATACAGGGATGGACTGTCCTGGCTGGTTCCTGGGCTGACAGCTCTGTGCTACACTGTATCCCTGTGAATTAATAACCCTTCTGCTCTCCCTGCCGGCTGAGAGTCATGTCTGGCTGGGGATGGGGGTGCACGGGATGGGGGGGCATCCCTTATCTGGCATTCCCAATGGGGCAGCTAGTGCTGGTTGCGGTAATGCTCCCTGGGTGGGCAGGGTTTGAACCCTGGGGTCCCCAGGCCTATGCCCTAACCCCTAGGCCAGTAGAGAACCCACCCCACCTCCCTACTTTAAGAGCATCACTTATCCAGCCTTCCTAATGGGGCAGCTGGTGGCTCCCCCACACTCCGTGACAGCCAGTGAGTGGGCAGGGGGTGGCTCTGGGCACCTTCCAACACCGTGCTGCCCCCAGGACCTCTTCAGGAGAGCCAGCTCTGCCCAGGGCTCCCCTGCTCCCAGTTCAGAGGGTGTTTGTGGCCGGAGCCTGGGACCAAGCAGCCTTCCAACTTCCCCACCAGCTCAACCGGGGCAGACCAGGCACCAGAAGGGGACTTGTGGAGCAGGCAGCACTCTCCTCCTCCCCCCGTCCCCGGCTTTCCCACTCAGCCACAGGCCCCTTAAACAGCAGCGCAATCTGCTCTCTAGCATCTGGCCATCTCGCTACATGCCCAGCTGTCTTGCTAGTGCTCTCCCCGCTTCCCTACCCTGGGGAGACAGTGGCAGTGAGGGTCTGATCCTGCATCGCCCCCCGCCGCCGCGGGTGCACATGGGGTAACCCAGCAGGGAGACGGCCTCCCTGCTAATCCTATGCTGCTGACCAGGAAACTCCCAGCTACTGGGAGTTCTTGGCCCAGCAGCATTCCCAGCCCTGGGCAATGACGGAAGCGTGTGACTCGGGACAGGATGCTGCCCTGGGATGCGCTGTAGGGAGCAGCCTTGTGCCAGCGTAGGGACCTCATGCAGCTTTCCTAGGTGTGTGAAAGGCCAGAGAAGTTTTAGGGCAGAGCCGTGACCTTGTTATGGGACTCCCTGAGGAAAGAGAGAATCTATTCCCTCCCAAACCTTCCCCGAGGGCCCCCGCCCGCCCCGTGCTACCTGGAGTGAAGGACAGGGATGGAGCACTTCGCAAGGATGCTCCCAATGATGACGGCTTCCCGTAGCGTGCAGGTCCCGGACTCGCACAGGGGGATCAGGATCCCTAAAAGCAGACGGGGGGGAGCTTGACGATAATCCTCTGAACGCAAAGTGCTTGGACCTGCAGGGCTCAGAGCCAGAAGCCGACTGATCCCTCCCCCGTGCACGCCAACCTCCATGCCCATCTAGCCTGAGAGAACAACCCCCCCCGGAGCATTCAGGGCTGCATCCCTGGGCACCCACCCCTGAAAGGAGCAACGCCGATGGCTCAACAGGTTGCAGGAGGCCCGGGATGTGCTGCCCCCTCTCTCGTCCCTCCCACTCATCTCGGGCCAAGCTCATTCATGGATAGGACAGGTTGACACTCCGTAATCCGGACTTCTCTAGTCCGGCAAGACCCCTGGTCCGGCATCGGCGGCGTGACCCCGTGGGGCCAGGAACACTGCGGGACTCGGGAAAGCGGCACGTGAAGTCCTGGGCTGCAGTGGGGTGCCCCAGGCAGCAGTGAGGCTGCTGGGCAGAGTGTGGAGTTCCCCTCCCTGGCGGCGGCAGAGCCATGGGGCAAAAGAGGAGCCTTAGGTGGCAGCAGAGCCCGAGGTGGGGGGGTGGGGGAGGGAAGCAGAGGCCCCGCCCTGGGGAGAATAGAGCTGAACACTGTGTATATTTGTGTGTACAAGTTGAACCTCCCTGGTCTGGCATCCTTGGGACCTACCTGGTCCAGGACCAATCCATTTTCCAGACCAGGGGAGGTCAATGCACCACAGCAGGGTGGCCAGGAGGAAAAGCAGAGACTGTAGAGCACTGACCTCCCCTGGTCTGGCAAATTTCCTGGTCCGGAACCAGTCAGGTCCCGAGGACGCCAGACCGGGAGGTTCAACCTGTACACACAAATATACATGGTGATCAGCTCCCCACTACAGGGAGTCCTGTCATGGATGGATCTCGCCCATCTCTGACAACCTAAGGGGGCTGGGCTATTTTTGGCAACACCGATACAGCTGGGGGTGCCAATCAAGTTTCCAGGAACGGACTATGATGATGACCCACCACATCAGCAGCTGCTGCCACCCAAGGTTTCTCCCCCTTGCTTGTTTTGCTCTCATTGTTTCCGCATCCTCCCTCTCTTTACTGATGCTGTCCGACTCCGGAGAGCATTAGGGGCTGTTGCATAAAGCTCTGGGCAAAATAAACAGTTCAAAGTGCTGAGGCTGGAAGGCCAAAGACAGCAAGTATGGAACTGAGTCCTCCACCCAGAATAGAACTCTTGAATACAGCTGTGAAACACGGAACACGATTACAGCCCAGCCGGCAAGCCAGACCCGCCCTTCTCTTCCTGCAACCTGGCTTCTTTCTACCTTTGAACCAGGCTCCCGGCTTGAACAAAGCCTTCTTCAAGGCCATGTAGAGGTGGAAATTGAGGCGCTTGTACTCGGCAATGTCATCCCTCACTCGCGGAAGCAGCACCAGGTTGTAGAAGCGCTGGGCCATCCTCTCCTTCAGGTTGGAGGAAAAGATCCTGGCAGGAACAAGGGAGGAGGGAATCAGATTAGGGTCTCAGCCTCCATCCCAGCCGCCCCAAAGTCCACAAGAAGCAGGTCCTAATATTCCAATCAGAGGGTCTGTTTCCCACCATGTACCTCGTGTGCTTGTGGGGGTTTTATTACCTGATCTTTGAAGCACCTGTTGAAGGCCAACCCGTGTTTCAGCGCATGACCCACACTGTTGAAATCTGGGCTAGACTGTGGTTGTTTAATGGTCAGGGCAGACCAGGAGAGGGTTCTGCACCTGACTCGCATGCTGGACAGGTCCTCCGGGCCTCATTTATAGAGCAGGAATATGCCCCTCCTTCCAAAGCAGGGAAGGCCCTGAGGGTCAGTTAAAGGGCTTGGAGATTTGTAGTGAAAAAGTGCTTCAAAGTGCATGACACTCTGCATTACCTGCCGGGCTTAGTATCCCTTCACATAATGTTAACCTGTGGAACTCCCTGCCAAAGGATGTTGTGAAGACCAGGACTTTAGCAGGGTTCAAAAAAAGAGAGCTAGATAAAGTCATGGAGGATAGGACCATCAATGACTGTTAAGCAGGGATGATGTCCCTACCCTATTTGTCAGAAGCTGGAAACGGGTGACAGGGGAGGGATCACTTGATAATCAATTCCCTGTTCTCTTCATTCCCTCTGGGGCACCAGGCACTGTCAGAAGACAGGATAGATGGACCTTTGGTCTGATTCTGTAGGGCCATTCTTATGTTCTTAGTATCAGAGTCCAGGGGAATCAAGGAAGTGACTAAGCTGGTCATCTGCCTATGAGATCAGACTCCAGCTACTGCTTCAAAGACTCTGGCCCTGTACTTGCCTGACAAGAAGATTGTGCCTGGAGACTGCATTAGAGCTCTGAGTAAAACAGCCCGTATCATGTCACATTTTATAGTTTGGGATCGGAGCCTGCAACAGTGAAACAAGGACACTTCCAGCTGCCACGTCTTCCGGTGTCTCGGGCTGCAGCTCTGCAGACAGCATGAGTGCCACATAAAAGGGCAGTTTCCTTAGGAGTGGTTCGAGCCACTGAAGGGAACAACCATGCTCTGGATCAAGGGTCAGCCTCTCTCCTCCCTCTCTAGCATCCAGGAAATGCCCGATGCACAGCCCAGGCATGGGACTCAAGGCAGGGAGCGGCTCTCTCCTCTGTCTTGCAGCTCAGGGGAGAGCCAGAGGCTGGTTTGGATTTCAGCGTGGTGGGGGGAGTTCGCGGCAAGCCCACTGTAAAACCCCCAATCCGTACGTTACCGCCAGCAATTCCCTCATACCTGGTTGCTTGATACATGGCAGCTGCAGTCCACGTCTCTGGCTCGGTGATGTAAAGGATCTGCTCCCAATTGGACAGCGCTGGGATGATTTTGAAGGCTTTAGGGAGCTTACCACTCCTGTATTTGGACAGCACCTTTGAAACAAGAAGCATGTGGCCTAGTGATCAGAACAGGGATCAGGCCCGCCGAGGACTGTCACTCACTGTGTGACTAACCAGCTCGGTTGCCTGAGAGATTCCTCATGGCTAGAACTCGCCCTGTGGCACATGGCCCCTGTTCCTCTCGTCAGGGCCCTCTAATACAGGGGTGGCCAACCCGCGAACCGCACGCGGCTCTTCAAAGGAAAAATTGCAGCTCCCGCACCCACGGCTGTTCTGCGTTCCCCTGCTCTGACCGTTTTTCCTTGTCTGGTCAGGGCGCCGCTTGGGGCAGTGAAATCTGATGCTGTGGCCGACAGAACTCTGCTTGGGCCACAGGCAGCTCTTAAGGGGCAGCGTTGGTTTTTTCCAACAACTTTCCGGCCAACAGCTGTTAAAGGGGCAGCGTGGTTTTTTTTTTTTTTCCCCCTCTTCTCTCCTCCTCAACTTCTTTCCCTTGGCTCTTTGCACTGTATCCACCACTATTTTGGCTCTTTGTCTGCAACGGGTTGGCCACCCCTCCTCGAATACCTCACTCAGTCCAAAGCGAATTGAAACAGTTCCCTGCCAGGGTCCACTTTATCCCAGGCCCCAGTTCAGTCTCTCTCTCTCTCTCTCCTTAGATAGGCAATACCCAGCCATTGGGAGCTGGGTCCCAATTCAAAGCTGCGCTCTCGTCAAGCAAGTCTAGCTCTCTGGGCCCCAATCTGTCTCTCTTCCTTCTTAGGTAGCAAGGCCCCACCTCTCCTGCCTAGTGCTGGGTTCCAATTCCACAGCGACTCCCATGTTTCTCTGGCCGGCATTCAGCCTCCTACCTCTGACTTCTCAACTCCCACGGGGTCAGGGCCTTCTCGGCAAGAGCCCCTCCTTTACCATGCTTTCCTAATCTACCCCCTTCTCCGCAGCTTCCTGTTGCCCTTTATAGGAGAACCAGCTGGCCTCCTTCAGGTCCCATCAAAGCAGTTAACATGGCGGGGGCAGTGTGGAGCAGTTCTCAGGTTTGCCTGGCCCCTTAAGGGACAGGCCACCCTGTTACAGCGACCTTGAGAAATACAGTGACCATAGGAGAAACTGGCCTGCCTCAAAACTCTGGGGATGGGGAGGAGTAGCTACTGCTAAACTGCGTGAGATCCGGCGCGAAAGAGGCAGTGTAAACAGCGGTGATTTTATTGGAAAGCCTGGTGCACATTAACTAATCACACTGGAATTCCCTCTGTTCACAGGCTTCCACGCACCTCGAGGCTTCTGGACGCAAGAGAATTTTAAAAGCAGCTCGAATGTCCTGTCTTACCACCAGCTGAGCAGTAAAAACTCTCTCAACATAAGAGTGCAATTAACAGTCCCAGAGGTTTTTTTCCCCCCCGTATCTTGGATGTAATGACAGAAAGGATGGAAACCTCAGACCCTGCAGAAGGTGCCTCCTTATTGACCCTGACGCACTTTACAGAGACAGCTGTCATGTTCCGCCCCAGAGACGGCTGCATGTTAGCAGTGGGTGAAGATATTCTTCAGCACAAGCCATGAGGCTGAAGACACAAGCCATGACAACTGTGAATACTGGCCATGGGAACAGCTGAGCTTGGTTCAGTCTAGCTCCTGGCAGAGCTACAATGCGTTGAAGATGAATGCTGCTACACAAATGCGATTGCTCTTACTTCTCTGACACCCTTGTAGACCTCCAGCACCCGGGGGTCCAGCTGAGGCATGGGGTGGCCTGATATTTCTGACATCACGGTCTCCACCTCGGTCTGCTTCTCTGTAATCTTCTCCATGATGATATCAGCTAGCGTGAGCCTGGCAGATACAGGCGAAGGAATCAATGCAGAGCTGGTATTAGGCCTAGGACAGAATCAGCCTGTTCCTTGGCAAACCAACCTGCAAAGGTTGGTTACTGTGGAGGTCAAATTACAGAGGAGGTCAAGTTACAGTGGAGGAGGTCAAAGTTGGGTATTAGGAAAAACTATTTCCCTAGGAGGGTGGGGAAGCACTGGGATGGGTTCCCTAGGGAGGTGGTGGAATCTCCATCCCTAAAGGTGTTTAAGTCTCGGCTTGACAAAGCCCTGGCTGGGTTGATTTAGTTGGGTTGGTCCTGCTGTGGGCAGGAGGCAGGACTCCATGACTCCTGAGGTCTCTGCCAGCCCTGGAATTCTATGAAAGGCAGCAGGGCCTAAGAACAAAGCATTGCAGTAGGAATCAGAGCAGGGAGGTTCCACAGCCCACTCTGCTACTGCCCTGCCGGGTGACCTTGGGAAAATCTCTCCCCCTTTTGGTGCCTCTATTTCCACTCCCATCCTTTATCTGTCTTGTCTATGACGGGTATGTCTGTCTTTGGAATACAGGTACAGCACCAAGCACCTGATCTCAGCAGGGCCTCTAGGCACTGCAGCAGCAACAGGCAACCTAAGCTACTGAGCAGGCCGCAGGAGTGGCCCTCCATCTCAGTGGGCCGCAAGAGTGTCGTAACCAATATAGCCTCCCGGGATAGGGTCATTTTGCTCACTGCGCTTGTGTACCTAGAATTCGCAGGGCATGCCGAATGAACTGTAGCAGGGTTTTGATTGGTTGCAGAGCGAGCACACAGCTCTCGCAGCCAATGCTGTGTGCAACCAGCACACACCTCGCCTCACGTGCTCTTGTTTTATGAGTGTGTCACGTTTGCAATACCGGCGGGGAAAAAAACCTGACGCCAACAGAAACTAGTGGGATCTGGCAACCCCGCGTATGGGCAATGGTAACAAAATATTTCATGGGTCATAGGCTGCCCACTGCTGCTCTCCAGCAATTGGAGTTACTATGGTTGGCCCCATGCATATGCCATGGAGAGGACATGCAGCATTATCTACCGTTTGGGCACAGGAGAGTCAGGAATCCTGAGTTTTATTCCTAATTCCGCCTCTGACTTGCCTTAAGAGGTTGGGCAAAAAACAATCCTCCCCTATGCCTCAGTTTCCCCAGCTGTGGAAGAGTGATGGACCTTCAACCAAACCCACCCTCTAGAATTCACGTAACCTCTTCAAAGCGCTGTTTTAAACTTCAATGCTATCCGAGTGCAGCGCAGTTGGGCCCAGTACAGAAACACTTACATCCCTTGGCTCAGGGGCAATGTTCCAATTGTTTCCATCTATGTGCAGAATAAGTTTTATTGCGTGCACCGTGCCATGTGCGGATGTGCACCACCAATAGAAAACGCAGGCTGGCTATAGGCCCTCTGCTAATCAGGGGGGCAGCCTTTTAATTTCTCGTGATCGGGGTTGCTTCCTACCTTAGCGGAGGATTCTTGTTCATGAACATCTCAATAGCTCTCTCATCCTCAGGGTCCACCGTCACCTCCTCACAGTACTCTCCCTTTCCCATGGATGCAGCCTTCTCCAGCGCGGGCCACTCATCATCCTCTGCGTCAGAATCCCCATCGCGCAATCCGGACCCTGAAATAAACCACATCCTGTTAAGGTTGGACAAATAAGGGTGCAGAGCCAGTAGCTGGGTGGCCAGCGAGATTAATTTACAGCAGCTCCTTTCTAATGTAGACAACCACCCACTATAGGAAGGCAGACCAGGGATACCCAGGGGCAGTCCATCCGAAGGGGCAATCAGAATTTCCATCCAGGCCCAAAACGTGCTTCTTCTCTGCCAATTGCTTAAACAACTGCTGTGGCCAGCCAATAATGTTGGAGCACAGATGTGCAATTAAATATTACAGTGCATATTTCAAGCTTTATTAAAGAATTAAAAACGGTTTCAGGTCCTGTATACGTGCATCCCCGCCCCGCCGCCTGTTTTTTAGGGGATTATAACCAGCATTCCCTGTAGCCTGTGCGCTTTTGCAGCTGCTCAGGTGGGATTCAAATGCCACTCAGCTGATTAGCAGAGCATCCACAGCTAGGTTGTGTGGTGCACATTCACATATACCTCGATGCCCATAAAAATGTATTTTGCACATGGATGAAAAAGATTAGAGGGTATAATGATTATGATGTGTGTGTTATACACACTGAATTTTATACTCAGACACAGACTCATCAGCTTTAATACAACTGCTCCATTTTGCAAGATCACAGACTAGGGGCCATGCTGTAAAACGTATTTCGGTGACCAACTCCAATACCATTAAAAAGCTGGTCTTAAGTGACAAATAAACTGACTAATGCAATGTACTGTCAAATGTACAATAAAAATATTATTTGGGACAGGAAATGAAGAACGTATTATCCAGGTGAAAGGATGGTTCACTGAATAGACTATGGCACTAAAACTCAAAAAACCTGGGTTCAGTTCCTAAGTCAGATTTCTTGTGTGACTTTGGGTAAGTCCCTAGATCTCTCTGTGCAGCTGTAGACTCTATTTGTCTCTAGTATCTCCGAGGTGCTGGTGTAACAGAACCAAACCTGGAACCTTTGGAATTTAGTGTGTGAGCCTCTACAGCTTCAGTTATAAACCAGCTGGCTCTCAGCTGAGGCTGTAGAGGAAACGTACTCTTCTTCTCCATAAGGGGCTCAGTGCCACTCCATGGGACAGTGAGACACGCCCAATCGGTGTGTGGGTTATCACTGTAAGGATAAGATCCCTTCATGATAGAGATGTCAGATACTGTAGTGATGGGGGCAGTTTAAGGATACATACAATGGATACAAGGGGGGGAGGGATTTACGGAGGCAGGATGCCTTCCCATGAAAAAACTCAGACCAAGCTACAAGGTTAGCACACCTGTCCCTTTTGCTGTCTCATCCCAAAGGCAGCCGCCAGGGCAGCACAATGCCTCCTCCCACGACACCGGGACTTTTGTTTTAATCCGCTGTTCTTAGAGATCGCCCTGCGCTTCAATTCTCCGCCACAAACAACGGTAAGAGAATCAGCGCGGCTCCCCCACTCACCCAGCACCGTGGTCTTCTCCTTCTTCGCTTCGGTTCCCTTGCCTGGACAGTGCTCCGCCTCCAGCTCCTCCTGCTGGATCCGAGCCTGCTCCAGGATCCTCCGGGACAGCTTCTCATCCACGTACTGGTCCTCCTGCTCCCCACCGCCATGCTGCCCGCCCCTGCCTCGCCTCTTCACCCGCGTGGTGGGCCTCACCGAGTCCCCTTGTATAATCTGCTCGGCCAGGGGCAGGTTCCTGGCCGCCTCCCCTGCGCCCCCAGCGCCTCTCCGCCGCTTGACCTTAGGCATAGTGATCCCCCAGCGCTCTCCCCGCAACCTGCGGGAAGTGCACGTGTGCGGCCCGGCAGTGCGCGTCTTCGGAAGAGGGAGGGCGCATGCGCTCTTGGAACGTTGGGAGTCCTTCCGTTCCAAAATTGGCAACAGCGTAATGAACGCTTGTCGCCAGTCTCGGCTCTTAAAGGCGCAGGCGTGCTATTTTAGGGCGCCTTCTAGGAACCTCTCCCAAGGCAGAGCTGTCAATTCGAGGGAATCCTTCGTGCGACAGCGAGTTCCATTTTCAGAAGCAGCAGAGAGAAGGGGGATTTATTGACACACGGACTGGAGCCACCTATTAATGGGCATAAATTGCAGCAGCGGACGTTTAGGTTGGACATTAGGAAAAGCTTCCTAACTGTCAGGATGGTGAAACACTGGAATAAATTCTCTAGGGGGGTTGTAGAATCTCCATCACTGGAGATTTTTAAGAGCAGATTGCAGAAACATCTGTTATGGATAGTGCTTGGGCTTGCCATGAGGGCAGGGGACTGGACTGGATGACTTCTCAGGGTCCCTTCTAGTTTTAGTGTCTAGGATGCTATTAACTCCACTGAGATACATTAGCCTGGAACAACTTGGTGGCGGGGCAGGGGATATTGGTTACTTGGCTACATAATTCTTAGGGTCCTAGAATAGGATCAGCCCACACCAGAGTTCCATTGGGGCTCGTTAAAATCTTTTGCATCAGTGGTTAACATGCCCCTGGGCTCCTAAAACCTGATTTTACTCCAGCCCCTTCCTCCCCCCGTTTATATTTAGTGCCATCTGCTGCTCGCAGTCCTTGGGGACTAATCTGCCTCTAGGAGGAACTAGCTTTGTAATTCCCACCTACCGAGAGGCAGGGGGACTGGCCAGAGACTGGAATCCTGCCTGCTTGCTGATATCATTTCCTGCTGGGTGCTTGACGCAGCAGAGGGGTTGGAGCTAGCGAGTGTGCTTCCTCCACGGAGAGATACACCCCTAGCCAAGTCACTGCTGCAAGTATATTTTTAAACCGAGATAGTATCAGCTTGCCCTCGCCCTCTTGCATAGGGACCGGTCCAGCCCGACGTGAAGATTTCAAGAAGCATGGGAGTTACCTGGTGAGACGTTCTATGTCGCGTGGTTAAAAAGGATACATGTGGTTGGGTCCTGATTGGCTTGCCATTAATGCCACGGCGTGGGGTTTGCAGACGGGGGGGTCTGCAAGGAGCAGCTCTGCTTCGGCAGCTTTGATCTAGCATTGCACCGAATTGCGGGAGAGGGAGGGCTGAGGATTTGCAGCAGGGTGAGCTCATTGCGCTGAGCCCTAAGAGGTTAAGTCCGTAGGAGCTGCTCTGTGGTGCAGCGTGTTTTTTTTTGTGGGCCTCGGGGAGCCTGTGTGGCAGGGGTTGGGGTTTGTCTTACTGTTGGAGCCAGCACCACTATCCTGCCTCACTAGGGATGCTAAATATTGTGTAATTCAATAGTTGTGTAAGCACATGAAATCTTAGAAGTTACACGATTATTCGATAGCCCCTGGGGGCGGGGGTGGCAGCAGCAGCCAGTGCTCTCCCAGCCCCACACCTGGGGAACCCCCTACTACCTCAGGCTGCTGCCTCTGTATCAGAGGCAGCACCAGGGGATGGCAGGCAGGAACAAGTTCACAAGGGAAGCCAGTTAAAAAACAGCTCCCTGCGCAGACCGGCTAGCTGCAGCCCCATGCTGCTGCCTCTAAGACGTAGGGAGCAGCGTGGGATGGCAGGAGCCCCCGGTC